GTAGCTTGAAACTCGCCCAAAACACAAATACAAAATGCCTGAAAACAACAAAAAAACGAAGGCAATCTGCCTTGAAAATCCGTCGCAAGAAAACAACCAAAACACACCCAGAAACTGCGCCAAAAAAACAAGATTTTCACCTAAAATTATGCCTGAAAAAAGCCCCTAAATACAATTGTAACCGCTGGAAAATGGAAGCCCTCGCCGAAACTATTAGCGCTTGGAAAATGGCCGCGATATGGACGTGGAACCTGCCTGAAAATTGATGCGGAACTTGCCTAAATGATGCCTCGAAATTGCATGAATTGAACTAAAAGTGCCTAAAATTTGACAGAAATTAGACATGAAATAGACGAGGTAGCTGGAGCCGTCGCTTGACCTGACCCTGCGCCGGAGATGCTGTCGGAATAATGACGTGGAAGCCTTACTACCCGACCCTATATTATTATTATTATTATTATTATTATCTCAAAAATAGACAAAGTCATACAACCTACAAAAAAATTAGTGGGAAGCCGAGATACAATCTGGGCCCCCACTCCTCTAGCTATTGCAAATCCTATCCTAGTGAAGATATGAGCTGCAGCACGTGCCCTAATGTCTTGAGTCTTCGAGAACTTCTGGATTCGCTTCAGCAATGTAATAGCCTCCTTTTCTAACTCCCCAAGAGAAGAGAAAGAGAAAGGAAGGAAGCCATATCTAATTGCTCGACAACTGGATTCGTACTTGACCTGCTTCCGATTGGCCGCATTAGTCACTACTCCTCCAGGAACAAAGTCAGATAGCCCAAACTGTGTCAAAGGAGAAGACCTTGTCAAGTCAACGCAAACATCGCGACCACGATCCCAAGAATAAAGTAACACATCTGCAGGTCTGAGGACCCCGTCGTTCCTTCTAGATAACCCAATGTCCAACTCCTTTCTAGCTAAAATCCTTGACCGATAGCAAACATCAACAAGGGTATCCCGAACAACATTATGCCGATGTTTAATGCCCACAATACCAGCACAAGACACCGCATAATCACAAAAAAAAATCCCCAGCAAAAACCCTCGAACAAGCAGAGCACGACGTCGTGATAGAGAATAATGGAACACCCAACCGGTAGCACAACACACAACGATAAGTAATGGCATTCATCGTTTGACACAAACCCGCAATAGGGACTGCCCGAAGCCAAGCAGAGGTGTGATCTCCCTGCTGTGATTTCCATAATGCTGATTGTCGAGGAGTCAAAGAATAAGCAGATTCGACAGAAGCGGTAACCTTTGTGAAATATATATCTGCCAATTTCTTCATGAGTTTAGGGGCAGCGACCTCACTAGGATTACTCAAAAATTTTAGACTCCACTGTTCAATTAAACAGAACCAACGCGTCCTCAAAGGCTCGTCCAAGACCGACAATGTCAGCATGTCGTATAAGTTGTGTTTGCAAACCAGCAGACTGCAACCGAGAAGCAAGAAAAACATAGTGACGAACATCACCTGAGAATAAACACTAAGCCCTCCGAACGCAAATGGTAAGGTGGCAAGCCGCCACTGTCAATCGCCAAACCTAGGCCTTGATAGTAACAATACGCTCCAAAGAAGATCGAAGAGCCCCATCGAAAGTGCGCTGAGCCGCCTCAAAAGTACTAGGAGGACAAGTACGTAATGCAAAGTAGAGTTTAGACACTCCGGTACATGCCCTAAGTAACAACAACTCACATTGAGGATCATCCAACATAGCGACCTTATCCATAAGGGCAATGGTCTTGGTCACTCTCTGCATCACAAGCTCACCACTAAAACCAGAATCGGAACTAGCGGGACCACCAAGCAACTTAACACCACGCAAAGATCGAGCAATATTAGGTGGAGCAATATTATTATTATTATTATTATTATTATTATTATTATTATTATTATAAAAGTCGCACAACCTATAATAAATTAGTGGGAAGCCGAGATACAATCTGGGCCCCCACTCCTCTAGCAATAGCAAAGCCTACCTTAGTGAATATATGAGCTGCAGCACGAGCCCCAATGTCTTGCGTCGTCGAGAACCTCTAAATCTGCTTCAGCAACGCAACAACCTCCTTCTCTAAATCCTCAAGCGAAGAAAAGGAGAAGGGAATGAAACCATATCCCATCGCTAGACACCGAGCTTCATACTTAACCTGCTTTCGATGAGCCGCATCAACCACAACCCATCCCGGAACAAAGTTAGATACCCCTGTTTGTGTCAAAGGAGAAGACCTTATGAAGTCGACACATACGACACGACCACGATCCCATGAATAAAGTAACACATCAGCAGGTTTGAGGGCCCCGTCATTCCATCTAGATAATCCTATGTCAACCTCCTTTCTTGCTAAAATCCCAGATTTGTAGCAAATATCAACAAATGTATCCCGAAAAACATTGTACCGATGTTTAATACCTACAATGCCAGCACAAGACACCGCATGGTCGCCGAATACATCCCAAGTAAAAACCCGAGAGCAAGTAGAGCACTGTGTCAAGATAGAAAACAATGGAACACCCATCCAATAACACAGCACACATCAGTATGTCTTAGCATTCATCGTCTGACCCATTCCATAAATAGGGACTGCCCGAAGCCAAGAAGAGGTGTGATCACCCTGCTGCGACTTCCACAATGCTAACTGCCGAGGAGATAAAGAAAAGGTGGATTCTGCAGAAGCGGTAACCTTTGTGAAATATATATTTGTCAATTTCTTCATGATTTTATGGGCAACGACCTCACAAGGATTACCTAAAATGTCAGACTCAACCGTTCCAGTAATAAAGTCAGATAGCACTGATTGTGTCAAAGGAGAAGATCCTGTCAAATCTACACAAACATCGCGACCACGATCCTAGAAATAAAGTAACACATCTGCAAGTCCGAGGGCCTCGTCATTCCCTTCAGACAACCCAATGTCTACCTCTTTCCTTGTTGAAATCCCAGAACGATAACAAACATCAACTAGGGTACCCGAACAAGATTATGTCGATGTTTAATACCCATAATCCAGCACACGACACCGCATGATCACCAAAATCTCCTGGAAAAACTCTCGAACAAGCAGAGCACGGTGTTGAGACAGAAAACAATGAAACACCCAATCGGTAACATAACACACATCGGTAATTCTTTGTGTTCATAGTCTGATCCAACCCTGAAATAGGAACGGCCCGAAGCCAAGCAAACGTGTGATCTCCTTGCTGAGATTTCCACAATGCTCATAGTCAAGGAGATAATGAAAAGATGGATTCTGCCGAAGCAGTAACCTTCGTGATATGCTAATATCTTCATGAGTTTTGGGTAGCGACCTCACTAGGATTACTTAAAAATCAGACTCCACCGTGTCATTAAACAAAGTCAAAGCATTTTCAAAAGCTCGACCAAGACCAACAATGTTAGCATGTCGTAGAAGCTTTGTTTGCAACCTAGAAGGCTATAACTAAGAAGCAAGAAAGCATAATGCCGAACATCACCTGCAAAATAAACACCAAGCCCTCCAAACACAAATGGTAAGGTGGCAAGCCGCCACTGCCAATCGCCAAACCCAGGTCCTGAAGTAGTAACAATACGCTCCAAAAAAGATCGAAGAGCCCCATCAAAAGTGCGCTGAGCCGCCTCAAAAATATTTGGGGAACAAGTACGCAATGCAAAGTAGAGTTTAGAAGCTCCGGTACATGCCCTAAGTAACAATAGCTCACACCGAGGGTCATCCAGTGTGAGCTATTATTATTATTATTATTATTATTATTATTATTATTATTATTATTATTATTATTATTATTATTGTCATTATTAATTAATCAAGTCTAATTAGTAATTATTAATTCTAATAATTGTGAAATAATGATTTATTATTATTAATCACTTCCTATTAATTAGTAATCAATGAATGGTATCTATTACTCTTTAATTATTAATTTTAATTAATAACTAATGAATACTCTCATTTGATTGTAATAGAGGGGAGGATACATTTGCTTGTAGATAAAATGACATGCCAAAGAAAATGGTTGTTGTGATAGGGGTATCCATCATGTGGCTAACCAAACCCATCAATTATTAAAATTCTCTAATTATAAAGTAAGAGTTAAAAGTGGGATTTTGTATGTAAGCCACCCTGGCCTACTAAGAATTTTGACACCCATTATCTAATAAGAGTAATTCTTTGTGGAAAGAGTAGTTTAGCTAAAATAAATAAAGATTGGATGTACACATCAACATATGTATTTTAGGAAATAAATTAACAAAGGTACAGAATCAAGTGCAAAAGGTAAGAAACTTTTCTTTTTTGGCATTGATTTCTTACCTTTTTGCACTTGATTATGTAGATTTATTTCCTAAAATACATAAGCAAAAAAAGTAAGAAATCAATAATTCCTAAAAAAAAAAGGTAAGAAATCAATATTGATTTTATACTAAAGTAGGAAATAATATAAGAGGTTTTATGTTTACATTTTAGGATGAATAGACTAGTTAATTTTGTTTAACCAAAACCAAAGTGTTTGTGTTTTTTATGTTATAAATGTGAACAATCACCCTTAGAGAAAATGGCTCTGGTTTTATAATGAAATCATAAGCTTTTAACTAGTGTACTATATCGCCGACATACCACTTTTTTTTTTTTTTTTTTTTTTTGTTATTGTTGTACATTTAACAATTTTCTTTATATGGACTACAACATGTGCACAATAAATTTAACTACTCATTTCATGCCTTTAAATTAATTTTTTTATAGGTAATTAGCCATGATAAAATTCATGTGTTTTATATCATACTTAAATAAATTTATGTGAAATAACAATTAAAATTTTAAGTCACTACTCTATTATTAAAACAACAACTAAAAAATTAAGTGCAATACTTAACATATCAAAGGTAAGCAAGTATAATACAATACAATTATTGTAAAATAATTAATGACAATGCAAGTAAAGTACAATAATTATTAATGACAATAATTGACAATAAAAGACACAAACTTTTGTGTTACTTAAATATAACAAAGCCACATATCATATATGGATAACTGAAGCGAGCTTAATAAGTCCAATATAAGCATAATCCTAAGGATAATTGAAAGTTTACATAAAATAAAACGACATAGATATGAAACATATAGATAAAAGACATAAAACTATAATGCTCAGCTATCTAGCATGCAAGCTACTTCATGAACAGAAGGTCCATGACAGGTATGATAATCCGGTGGCAAAAATTTTCAAAGGGAGAGATCTAATGATAAATTCTGTTCTTCATGTGATATTGTAGAAGTGCTGCCAACATTCAGCTTCAAAGTTAAATCCAAAATACATTTCTTCCTATTCTTCCCCTTTGCGTTAGAACTTTCTTCAGCAAGATCATTGAATATCCAATAAGCATGCTCCTTTTTATTGGCTTCTTCTGGCACTTTTATTTCAATAGAAATAGTTCTTGGGCTCTCTTCAATAATGTTACACATTGTTAGAAGTGATGATTTTTTATTAATTCGTTTCAATTATTTAAACTTAAAATGTATAAATAAACTTGTCTGCTTTTATAAGAACTTGTTTTATATGTAAATTTACTTAAGCTATTAAAATTCTCGAGAAAAAAAAATGTATCACTTTTGCACAAAAATAATAAAAATACATAGAATGATATTTAAAATTAAATAAAAAGAAACATAACAAGTACCATATCCAATTCTTACAAAAAAACGGAGTATAGAAATGAACAGGCTTCCTCATTCAAGTGAGAAAACACTGAATTCGTAAGATTTTTCTTACACTAACTTCATCGTTTCTCTTAAATTGATTTTTTAGGAGGGTGATTGAAATTTATCGTGCATGTTTGAAAAATTGAAGAAATTAATAATTCAACTATAATAAAGAGGATGAATTTAAATTATGCAGTATGTTCATATACTCTTCTGGTATGAGCCGTATAAATTAACGAATAAAATAACATACAGTTAAGCACAATAAATAAAATAAATATATAAAACTACGAAGTAATACGTATATAGTAGCATAAATAATGCTTGATGTCGTGATGATTACCTTTATACTTTAATATCCCGTAGCTTTTTTCGGTTGTTCTGTTTGGTACATGAAAATTCAAGGAAAACAACTGGTTAATTAAGTACAAATAAAAGCTAATCAATAAAAAAATACAGAGAGATAAATAAGATGAATGATCTCAGGCTATATGAAAAAAAAAAAAAAATGAGAGATTTAAAAAAAAGTGTACTTTAAAATGATTTCTAACTTGCTCCAGAGTAATTCCATCAGCTTGCATCTCAAGCCAAATTTGTTTAGGGAAAGCACCTGAAATACAACCATATATCCACAATTGAATTTTTAATAATCAACACACACACACACAAACTACACATCTCAAAATTAATAAATTAAATATATTTTTCTATATCAAATTTCATGGATGAAATTGAAATTAGCATTATCAACTTTTTATAAACATGGATAAAAAAAAATATAATATGAATCATCTAATAATAATGTTGTAGGTGGTAAAACTTACTTTTTTCATCGCCATATTTCATAACAGCACAGGCAAACTTACGCTTGAGATCATCAGAACAGTATAACCTCATTTTATTTTCTCTAATTAACGATTGAAAATGGTTGGAGAGAATAAGAAAGGGAACAGGGATGAGGGGGCTGAGAGAGGCGGGTGAGTGATAATAAATAAAAATAATGCGGCAAAAGGGGTATAAATAGAGAAGAATCGAAGTAAATACGCGTGTGTATATCTTATTACACTTTGCCTTTTATATACTACGGTAATATTTCGCACTCATACAACTAAAACTAATGGAGAAAAGCGACACAAAAAGAAAAGAAATCTCAAAGATTGATTTTTTAAATATGTTTGCATTATTGCTATGTAAACAAATTAATATAGACAATTAGGATTAAATTTGTATTCTTTTCATTTATTTTTATCAACACACCTTTTTTAATATTAAAATCAATTTATCAAATAAATAATTATACGACATCTATAAAAGAATACCAATTTAATAAATAGATGAAAATTTGAATTAAATAGGAAAAATTGATTCTTGCAGAATTTACCAATTTAATAATGCAACCTAAGCCCCATTTAAATCTAATAATCCAACCTTAGTATTATTGTAGAATAATCCAAGCTTTGGACAATATTCAATTCTATAAGACCAAATTGACTTGTAACCTTAAGAATAGGGTATTTATTTATTTAAATATGTTTTGAAAACTTTTTATTATATTTATTTTCAAAATTATTTTTAATTTAAAAAAATCATTTTCTCTCTCTTCCTCCCAACCACCTTCCCTCCTGGCTTGTTCTCATCCACCAGCAGTGGCAGACCCACGTGTAGTCATAGTGGGTCCGCGGACCACCTATTATTTTATAAAAAAAAACACTATGTATTAAGGATTTAGCTTGCAGCCTAGTGGTTTTTTCCCATCCTACCACTCATGAGACGTGGGTTCAAATCCCATTACTCACAATTTTTTTTTTTTTTTTGCTTTAGAATGAAAACATAAGTCAGAACCCCAATTCCCCCAAATTAAAACCCTAAGTCCCAAACTCACCTAAATCGAAATCCCCAAACTCCAGCAACCCCGTCGCCGTTCACCGCCTCACCGGCCGTTTTTCTTGCTCCTTCTCAACTTCTCACCGTCGCGGCGTCCTATTAGCTTCAGTCCGTCACTCCGTCAGGCGTTGAGGCGTAGCGTGAGAAGACTGAGAACAGAGGCAGCGTGAGACTTAGTTCAGTCCACTGCCCGCAACCGCAGCAAAACCACTAGCCAGCAACCCCGTCGCCGACCTCGCCAGCAACTTCAGTCGTCTGTCCCGGCGTCCCGCAACCGCAGCAAGGCTCTGCTCAGGCGTGAGTGTGAGGTCTTCATTCCGTACTCCGTGAATTCAATTTTGTTTTGAGGTTAGTTTTAAACTTTTAATTTACATAATTACATTGCAAATTGATTAGATTCTATATCAAATCATCAGCTTAAATGTTTAATTATCAAAATTATCAGATTATATGTATATCATGATTCACGAATTTACTGTATGAGTTGTTTTTTTCTTTTTGGTCAAATTTCTTGATTTTATTAGAGCTTGATTATTTGTATGACTTTATTAGAGCTTGAATCTTATGACTTGATTATCGTCACTTGATTATCTGTATGATTTTATTAGAGGTTGAATGTTGTGATTTGTGAATGTGAGTTGTGGCCGATATTTGACCATTTGAGCCCTATTATTTTATAGTATTATTTCTGTTTAATTGATAAATGATAATAGTTGTCCAACTTGCTTATTAGCTATTGAGAATGGTGATTGCTAATTTGGAGATTTGGGGTTGAAGGATGGATTGAAATTAAGGTTAATGAGCGTTCTTTTGATAATATTATTAGTTTTAATAACTTTGAGAGAACCCTACCTTCTTGTATGATTTATCTAATTCAACATTTAACTTCAATTTCAGAATGAAAAGAAAAACAACTCGAGATATTTCAAGTTTTTTTACTAAAAAAGTGCGTACTCTAAATCCTCCTCCTCCACAAAATGATACTCCTCCTCCACAAAATGATTTACCCTTTCAAGAAAGTGAACCAAGTTCTCCTTTACATCATGCTAGTGAACAACATTCTTCCCCATCTCACAATTTCCCTCAAAATGAAGATGGGCAATCTTTTCCCCAAGGTGGTTCGGATCCTAGTGCTCAAATTGGTGAAGGAAGGTTAAGTGCACTTGATATTATTAATCTTCCACAAGACCCCGGGAAAAGAAGAAGGATGTGTGATTTTCATCCCGATGATAGGGATTTAGTGCAGAGAACATACATTCAAAGAAAGCCATGTCAATCTAAAGATCATGCGTTTCCTCAAACACTTTTTGGGCCGAAAAAACGTCGATTTAATGTTAATTGGTTTGATACTTGGCCAACATGGCTTGAGTATAGTGTTGAGAAAGATTTTGCCTTTTGTTTCATTTGCTATCTATTTAAGGATGGTAACACAGCGGGAGTGGATGCTTTTGTTAATGGAGGTTTCAGACGTTGGAATAGAAGAGACACAATTGTAAAGCATGTTGGTGGACACAAGAGTGCTCACAATAATGCTGTGATTGCTATGAACTTTTTCATGAATCAAATGAGTAGCATTGCCACCGCTTTATCAAAACAAACAGCGGAAACCATGAGTGTCTATCGTAAGAGATTAGAAGCTTCAATTGAAACCATTAAATGGCTATTGTTCCAAGGGTTGCCTTTTCATGGTCATGATGAAAAGGAAAGTTCATTGTCTAGAGGTAACTTTCTTTCGTTATTAACTCTTCTTTCAAACCATGATCCTGAGTATTCCAAAGTTGTTTTTAAAATGGCCCCTGGTAATTGTCAACTTACTTCTCCAAGTGTCCAAAAAGATATAATCAATGCTTGTGCTAAAGAAACAACTAAAGCAATATTGGAAGAACTTGATGGTGGATTTTTTGCTATTCTTGCTGATGAATCTGCCGATGTTTTCGATAAGGAACAAATGGCACTTTGTTTGAGATTTGTTAATAAAAAGGGGGAAGTGTGTGAGCGTTTTCTTGGTATTGTGCATGTTCCTGATACTAGTTCTTTGACTCTCAAAGCTGCTATTGAGTCATTACTCATGGAACACTCTTTAACTTTCTCTCAAGTTCGAGGTCAAGGTTATGATGGGGCAAGTAATATGCAAGGTTCAATCAATGGCCTTAAAACTCTAATTTTGAATGAATGTTCTCAAGCATACTTTGTTCATTCCTTTGCTCATCAACTTCAATTGACACAAGTTGCACTTGCTAAGAAAAACTCAGATTGTGGTTGGCTTTTTGTTGATGTACTTGCACCTCTCTTGAACTTTGTGGGAGGTTCACCTAAGAGGAAAGAATTTCTTCGAGAAAAACAACGTCAAGGGGTTGTAGAAGCATTATCTTTGGGTGAAATTGAATCGGGAACTGGTTTGAATCAAGAACGTGGCTTATGTAGACCTTGTGATACTCGTTGGGGATCTCACTTTAAAACCATTTTGAATGTGCTTGATTTATATCCTTCAATAGTTTTGTCACTTGATTCCATTGCAGAAGTATCTGATACACTTGATTCGAATAAAGCACAATCTATTACACACTTGTTGATGTCATTTGATTTTGTGTTTGTGGCACACTTGATGGTTGATATATTTGGAATTACAAATGCGTTGAATGTGGCATTGCAAAAACATGATCAAGATATTGTAAATGCAATGGTCATGGTTGATGTAACCAAGACTAATTTGTAAAAATTGAGAGATGAAGGATGGGATTCACATATGGAAAAAGTCACTTCTTTTATGGCTAAATATGGCATTGAGGTTCCAAACATGGAGGGGCGATATGTGGTTCCTGGGAGAAGAATGTATAGAGGTAAAGGTCCACAAGTGACTAATCTTCATCATTTTAGAGTTGAAGTTTTTCTAAGTGTCATTGATCTTCAATTACAAGAACTTGAAAATCGATTTCCCGAGGTAAGTAAAGAATTACTTGTGTGTATGTCTTGCTTTAATCCTGCAAATCGATTTCATTCTTTTGACAAAAGAAAGTTAGTTCAACTTGCCAAATTTTATCCCGATGAATTTTCAAGCTCTGAGTTATTATTTTTTGAACATTCACTTGAAAATTTTATTGTTGATGTTCGAAATGATGAGAGATTTTGGAATTTGAAAAGTCTAAGTGAACTTTCTACGAAACTTGTTGAGACGGGAAAGTTTGAAACTCATGATCGAGTCTACTTACTTTTGAAGTTAGTGTTGATTCTTCCTGTTGCAACGGCAAGTGTAGAAAGAGTATTTTCCGGAATGACGCAAGTGAAAGATAAATTGCGTAATAGCACGGGAGATCAAATGTTGAATGATTGTTTGATTACTTATTTAGAAAGAGATTTGTTTTTGAATGTTAGCATGGATGATATTGTAAATCGTTATCAAAATATGAAAACTCGTCGAGAGCAATTGTAATAAAATTAATAATTTTTTAGTTGTAATACGAATTTGCATTACTTTATGAAATGAACTTTTTTATGTAATTTTTTTTTTGTTCATTATACAAGCTTTGACTTTTTTTGATACTTTATGCGGTCGATGGACGATGATGGGACCACCTATTAAGCAAATCCTGGATCCTCCACTGTCCACCAGGCTGCCACTCAAAATTATTTTTAACTGGTCAAGAGTTACATGTCGAAAAGGAGAGGAAAAGGGTTTCCGCTTCTAGTATTAATGTAGTTTGCGGGGTTTAGGGGGTTTTGGGGTTTGTGGTGGATGACGTTTTTGGATTTTGGGATCGCCACTTTGGGTGGGTGCATGGAAAAAGGGATAGGGAAGGACGGTCGGAAAAGTAAGGGAACGGGGAGGAGAGGGGCTGTCGGGAAAGGGGTTGTCGTTGCCGGATTTAATAGAGGTGGAGGTAAAGGTTGCTAATTTAATGAAAGGGGTAGGAAGGTGTAGACACCTGATCGTATCTCCTCAAAAACCAAACCCAGTGATGAATACCTTTCACGTCAGTGATTATCGAGCAAGGTGAAATGTGGAAAAGTCTCATGAATTTCTCTTGTCTAAAAATGTTTTAAAAATTATACATTTTGTGAGTTTTCTCCATAATCTGGGTCCAATAATTGTGTAGTTGGATAGGTCTTGAAAGATTTCCAACGATATATTATAAGCCCAATTTCGAGTTATAACGAGGAAGTAATGGCCAAAATACTAAACTGTGCCTTATTTGAGTTTATGTACGGACCCAGTGATCTTGTGGAGGGTCCGTTATCTTTTAATTATATTTCTAAAACCATTAGAATTTAGGAAATTTTTTTCGAAATAATCCGACCTTTGGGCATCCGCTAAAATTAATCCCACCGTTGGATTATTTTTAAATAATCCGACCTTTATACTCAATTTTCCCATGTTGCTCCCAAGTGACCGGTTACTTGTTAACATTTTTTTTAGTTAAAAGTACACGTGTCACTATGTAATTTGTCTAAAATTATTAAATTAAAGATTGAATTTAACATATCCATTGAATTGCATTCACCCACCGTGAGATCGATCGAAACTCACGATGCAAGATGTGTCATCGTCGTTGCTACTATCGGTGGTCTGGGCGGCGAAATCGAGGTGGAGGAAGCCGAAATTAGGGCGGGGGAAGTTAAGAAGGTCGAAATTAGGGCGGCTGAAGGAGAAGGGGTTGGAGTCTGTACAGGGGAAGAGGAGGGAGGCCAGATTTGGAACGGAGAAACGGCCGAGAAGACGGAATTAGGACATGGGGACTTAAAGATGCCGGAATCGAGACATGGTTTCCAAAATCGAGGGTTAGGGATGATTATTATTCATCGGTGTATCCTGAGTCAAGTGGAGCTTGGGTTTTAGGGTCTTCCGATCCAGGGTATTGGTGGTTCGGGGAGGAGGGTCAAGCGGCGCCGACACCGACGCTGGGTTGAGGAATTAGGTGGTCGGAGTCGTGGGGACGGGGAGTCATGCGCCGGGGAAGGGGTTTCTTTGGTTGGTGTGGTTGTTTTCTTAAATAATTAAAAATTAATTGTTTTTTATTTATTTTTATGTTATTTTTATTTTTTAACCAATCATAGGTCGACATGTTGAGTGAATTGATATCAAAGGTCGGATTATTAAAAATAATCAAAATGAGGGATTATTTTTAGCGGATGCCCTTAAGGTCGGATTATTGCGGGCAATTTTTCCTAGAATTTATCTTAATTTTCTAGAAATATCTAGAAGTTTATTTTAAGTTTTAAAGAATTTAGGATTGATAATTATCCTATTTTTGAAAAGATAAGGATCAAGTTTTTTATGTTGGATAAATCTCATTTAATAAAGATAAGTACAGACTTCGGCTAACCCAATTTAATTAAAAGGTGGATTATGTACGAAATCTTATCGTACGGAGTTATCACGCCGTAATAAATCCATCGCGCCGCAATGGGCATATCACGATGTGATAACGTCATTATGTCGTGATAAACCTATCGCGCCGCGATGAAACTTGTTTTCTTCTGGATTAAATTTGAATTAAATTATGATCTTTTCGGTCTTTTTTTTCCTATAAATAGGGGACGATTTCCTCCGTTTTCATGGACCACCAACAATCATCTAATTCTCTCTATAAGCTAAATACTTCTCTCTATTTTCTAAACCTTTTCCCTAAACACACACCATACGCCCTTTTCGAGACAGTAACAAACCTAGCCAAGTTCGAAGTTGCCTTAGACCTAGACATGAAAGTTCTGAGGGTTTGGTCCCAAATCCATATTTCTATTAATATCATTTTTAATTGTTTGATTAAATATTTTATTGAAGTTTACTAATGTTTGTAATATTTTGATAGAAAGAGAAACAAGGCAGCAAAGCGAGTAAATCAATTACTATATTTCTTTTAGAAATCATGTTTAATTTATTATTTTAATTCATAGTATCATGTTAGGATGCTTCCATTGCTTTCTAGTATCATGTTTAGGATAAAGATTTGATTTTTATTATTTAGTGACATGGTAGGATTTGTTATTAATCATGTTAGTATCATGCCTAGGATATTGCTAATAATATTATGCTTTGAAAATATTTTTATGATGATGATGATTGTTGTGTCAATATATTATTATGTTGCTTGATGACATACTATTGGTATTGCTTGGTCATGCCCATTTCTGCGAGATTAAAGGGAATTTGTACTTGAAATCACACCTAAAAAGCTTTATTTAGGCTAATATGGTTTTAATTCAAGTGATCGCCAATAATAGATTTATTTATGCATTAATATTCAACCAACATAGATTAATAAGTTTAGAGATAACTTAAAGATGGAATGTTGATCGGAAAGCGCATATGAATATGAGCAGAATAAAGTAGAAGCCTATTTAGGGCGGGTTCAATCTCTTTTAGATTGGATTCGTACGATCATCCTCGAATATCCAGTCATGATTCTGTACCACTATGGAGTTAGCGATCTCTGTGATCATGAATGGGGTGTAACCTTCACACCCGTGAACGGTTTACAAGTTCTTAAACTTGTTGGCGACTCTTTTGCTCTAGCTTCCTACCCTTTGAAGTGACCATGCTTATATGCAATATCACAGTTTGGCTCAAAGTTGAGAGTTTGAAATATTCCCTACAGTTTTTTAGCGACTCTTTTGGGGAGGAATTATATTCTAATTACTATAATTAATTTTGGCAATTGCTTAGAATGAGTGGATAAGACTCGAACGTTTTAAATATTCATGTGCGTAATTTTGATTAACATTGCGGCATAAGCATAAAAAGGTCCGCATTAAAAAGACCATCCGTAAGGTGTCAAAAACATAGGCTTTTTACACATAGGAAAATTGGGAAATATCTTTCACAACTAGAATCGAAAAAAAATACTATGAAAAATCGAAAAATTCTGAGAACATAGAAAGCTGCTAAGGAGTGTTGAAACAATCGTAAGACAGTAGTGTCCATCGCTGTGAGATGGCTTTATCACGACGCGACGGTTTTATTGTGACGTGATAGATTCATCGTTGTGCGATGGACCCTGTTTTCTCGTGCCAAGTTCTTCCAACACCGAGCCAAAAATCCGCCTTCTTGTTTTGACCGATTCTAGTACTATTTGGCTAATTTTACTTCATTATTGAGTTTTTAATTATTTTCTGAAACCCATATGTGTTCTTCATGTGGCCATAACCCTCTAGGGATTCACGCTCCATCTATTCAATCGAACGCTCCGTGCAACGAAGGGTACATCCGATTGTATGAATTCACCAAACCATGGAAACAAGTTTAATTTGCGGGGTCCCATCCATATGCGCCAACCGTTCAAATGGTAAGGCTGTCTCGTGATGCATACGGACTCATAACCATGGACCCTCTTTGACTACCATAATCATTGAACTTTAGTGAACTAGAGTCATGGTTAGCTCATTGCATCATATTATGAGTACTTGACTAGTTGTGCATCTCTCGCTTGTGCATCGCTTATATGTGATTGAACTAACCGTTTTTTTTTTACTTGTTTTGTAAATAATTTTTAATAAACTTACTAATGACTTTGCTTAATTAATTAATTAATTTAATTATTCGATCAATAAAGTCTAAACATATTTGACTTAGCAAGACAGTAGGCTTACTTTTTCGAACAGAACATCGAAAACAAGTTAAAACCAACGTTTCAGTATTGATGCAGAGGTTTTGACTTGTGACACAAAACGTCGGCTTTCATCGCCACGCAATAGAAATAACGCGCAACAATGGGGTTAACG